AGAAAGAAACGAAGGAGGGAGAAGCACAAAGGACTATGGTGATGGTGATGGGTGAACTGGTTGGGGAAATTCTGTGGGGACTACACTTGAGAAAAGAAAGCAAACATTCTTTAAAAAAAAAAAAAATGAAGAAAGGGGCCCTCCCTGGTGGCTTAAGGGGTTAGGACACAGCACTGCAAGCACTGTCGCTTCAGTGTGAGTTTGATCCCTGCCCAGGAGGAAATCCACATGGTGCAGCAGAACTCTCCTGTCTCACCAGTCGTAGATCAGCATATTCTGCTTCCCACTATGTTTCTGATGAATCATCTTACCACCTCTGCACCTCTGGCTTGCACTCCAGTTCTGTATACATAAATAAATCTTTTTTTAAAAGTGAAAAAAAGATGGAAAAAATATATATATAAATACATTTTAAAATAGACTTTCTAAAAAGTGTTGTTTGAGCAATAAAATTCTGTTCAAACTATTTTTCAGATTGGCATTGATATAAACCTTTAACCTCCCCTTTTCTTTATAATTCTCACTGCTTTAGTGTTCATTCAGATCAGCACATTTTTTTGAACCCTTTCCCAAGTTCATTTCCTTTAAGTTTATGTTCCAGTGGTAATAGAAATTGTGTTTTGTAATATTCTGGAATTTTATCATTTAATACCCCTGCCTTTTTCTTTTATTCCCCTTTGATATTTTTGCAACATCTTTGCTATTTAATGTGTTAACAAAGGATTTATACTTTTTTGCATTGTCCTTACATGTGTATGTTTAGTTAGGAATTATTTTCATAATTGCTGGTTACCAGATGCAATTTTGTTATATACTGGGTGTGTGACCATATCTAAGTCCCTCAGTTGTTTGTTTGCACAGTAGCAGTACCAGTAAGACCAGGCCTCTTAATCTTGTTAATGTCATATCTCTTGAGAAGTATACTTTCACAGCCAGCAAAAGTACTTATGTACCTTCCTTCCTTGCCTTGTGGTAGAGTGGAAACCCTATCTTTGTGGCCATATCTAGATTCTGTTCCTTTCCACTCTGATGGAGACTTAACTTTTGAGTCACCCCTTAGTACATCTAAGGTAACTCTGTATTCACATTTAATCTCTTCTGTCTCTGCCTCTTGGGATGGGGGGGGGTGGGGAAGAGGAGGGAAGGCATAACCTCATATCTTTCCAAATATGTATTTGTTTTCTCATTTTGTACAACTAGATTTGTTTGTTTATTCACTGTATCCATAGCATGACACTAAAACTGCCATTGTCACCAGTCAGCTTAGCTGCTTATTGCCAAGACTAGTGGGGCTATAATCCTTATAATTTTATTTTTGCAAAAGATTGGTGTTAAAGTCAGTGAAACCACAAGAACTTTGGGATAGTTTGATATTTTTAGCACAGAAAAAAAATAGCTGGTAAATACATATGGAACAGCTCTATTCATTGAAAATATAATTGTTAATAAAATGGATAAAAGTCCCAATTTAGAGCTTATTTTGTTTTTAAGATTTTATTTTTGCGTAGAACTGGGGTGTAGGCTAGAAGTGAGGGAGTAAAAGGATTCACCAGTGACAAGAGTGGGGAGCAGAACAGGCAGATCTACTGAAATACATTGCTAAGGGGAGCAGAAGGTGAAATAGGAGAGAGCTACTGAGCCATATGTGTTAGCTCCTTGGCTGGGGATCGAGTTGTGGTGGTAGTGCTGAGCCTTAACTTATAGCCCACCAGGGAGGCCCTGGAACTTCTTTTAATTGAAGGAAGTGGCCAAGTAAATGAAATGTCAGGTAATGCTGAAGAATTTTTAGCAAAAATCAAGCAAGAATTAGCAATGAGAGTTTAGAAAGGATGGATTTTAGATGACTTGGTCATCTTAGTAATGAAAAATTTCTGGGACTATGGTATTTGAACAAAGACCAGTAGGAGATAAGCAAGAAAAACATACAGCTATCTTGAATAAGAGTGAGCCTCACATATTCTTTATTTGGTCTTAGCATAAATACTGCTTTGTGGTATGAAATGTTTTTATAAAGATTCTTGTTCTTAAGATAAAAAAGATTGGATTTTCTTTTTGGTACACTGTTGCAAATTGACTTATTAGGAAAATACATTTTCATAATTTATAGATTTTTAGAATAAGTGAAAAAAAATTCTAAAGTTAATTTAATTTCACATTTCCTTTAGCATCTACATGCTTGGTTGCATTCTTTCATAGTTGAACAATATAGTCAGAGAGGCATCTTTATTCATAAAAGAGATATAGCTCTTTAAGTACATGGAATATGGACTGAGAAAATAAAGTATAGCTCTATAGGACTCTGACTTATAGAGGGTTTAACAGATTTTTAGTTGAAAATTTAGCATGTGTACACTAAAATTTCAGTAAAATAATTGATTTTTTTTGAGAATAAAACTTCATTCTCTGTATTATAGTCAGAACCCTAGTATTTATGTGGTTATGTATGGTTGTCAGAATGAGGTTTTTCGCATTCTGTGTGGAGCCCTATATAATGATAAAAAGAATTAATATGGCTTTTGTTATTAGTTTTCAGAGAAACACGGTAGTTAGATGAGAGCCTTCTGCAAACAGATTCTGGAACTTGGTTCCAGTATCCTTCCCTCTTCTCCTTTACCAATACTGCTCCCCTTACCTGCATTCCCCCTCCTCCCCACCAAAGGTTAGGGGTTTAGGAAGTGCTGGAGACAGAGTAGGCAATAGCATATACTTTTGTTGGAATTAGCAGTGGCTAATAATGAATTACTGGCTATTTCCTCCTAGTTTCTTAATATAATAGAGTGGAGAAGCTCTGCGTATTTGAAGAACACTTACTTTTATCAAATTTGTTCATAACTCATAAGAAAGATGGAAACAAAAAAGGAATAAGCTGTTGCTGGGCTTGATAAAGACTTAATCTTTTAAAATGAGATGCTTACATAGCAACACTACATAAAGTGTTGCCTTTAATATCTTCTTTTATTCTCCCCCCCCATACCTACTCTTGAACAAATGCTGTAACTGCTGCCGAAAGACATCTATGACCAATGAAGTTATGTAACTCTACTAAATCAACATTTTCTCTTAGTATTTTTAGTTGATCTATAGTTGTTTTAAATTGATAGGTACTATTGTCATTATGCAGTATACAAATCTTATATATTCTTGCCCTCCCTGTTTTCATCTCCATTCTGCTTGAGTTGGACTCAAAAAATTCTCCCAACTCCAGTAGATAATATTTAAGGTCCATTCTAGCCATAGTCTGATTCTTTTTTACTGTGTTGTTGATAAGATAGTGTGTTGATAGGATAGCATTCTAACTCCATTTCAGGGAAGTTAAGTGACAAAGGTGTCATTTCCTTAACATTTACATAGTTAGCAGCAGAGAATACTGAATCAATGTGTATCAATAATGCAGGAAGGTCACTACTGAAAGTCTGACTCTATCCTTCACCATAAGTTGTCTCTTCACTGATTTACCACTGTACTCCCAACTATTAGTTGGTTTATAGTCTCAAAAATTGTTTTTGTTTTATTTACTTCATCTATTTGTTTTCTCACTATATGCACCATATATGAATTAAATCATATGCTATTTATTTTCCTGTCCTGTTTTACTTGCTACAATTTACAGCCATCTCTGTGGAAAAACTTCATGCGTTATTTTTATTTCATAGCTATGTAGTATTATTGCATTGTGTATGCATACCACATCCTTTTTATCCATTCATATGTCACTGGGCACTTAAGGTTGTTTCAGTGCTACACTTTTGTAAATAGTGCTGAAATAAATGTTGGAGTGCATATAGAAAAAAACATGATTTAATTTTTATTTTTTAATATAATCCTTCTGTCCTTCCCCCCATTAAAAAATTAATGAATTTGTGACCATACATTAGGAAAACTTATCAAAGCAGATTTCTGTAATTTTTCCATCTGAAAGTAAATGCTGGTAACATTTTGGTATCTCATCTTCCCATATTTTCAGTATACACACAGACAATACACACAGTTTTACAACTTAAAAAAATTATTATAAATATAGTATGTCATTAAATATCCTGAAATATTTCCAGTAGTTACATTATAAGAGTACTTAATATGTATCATTGGCAATTAGCTGGCTTTCAATTTTTTGATTTTACAAATTATACTAAACAGAACGGTTAGCGTACATCTTAGAGTTCTTTGACTCAGGATTTTTTAGTGTCATATGTATGATATTTTAAGTTTTTATTTCACTGAAACAAAGTTTACTGGAAAAGGAAAAAAATTTACTGAGTGCTCATGTACCAAAAACTGTGCAGAATGCAGTCTTATAAAACTGTTTTCATCCGGAGTTTTATAAATGAAGCCTACATATATACATACAAGACATTTTGCAGTAGGTTAACAGGCTGCAGGAAAATGTTTAAATGCTTTATTCAGCAAATAGCAAAGGTCTTTGACAGTCACAGGAGGTAATGAATTTGTAATGCTATAATGACTAATATGCATAGAGAGCCTAGAACACAGTGAGAACTTGATGAATGTTAAACTGAAATTTAAACCATACCAGGTGCCTGATAAGCTTTTCTGAGGAATAAAGTCAATGCTAAATTAATCTCACTAGGTTGGTGGACAGGGGGTATAATCATTTGGTAACATTTTTTGCTTTACCTAAAGGATTTTAGATAGTCAGTTACATGTTAATTGGCTTTCTTAACTATGGAAGAGACAAAGTGGTTATGAATTTTGGTTTTTGGTCACATGACTACTGCCCTAGACAATGAATTTATAATTCACTTTTTGTCTTGAAATTAGAACTAGGTGGTAATTGTCAATGAATAATTGTCAATTTGAGTAATTTAAGGATGAAAAGTTTGGGAGTCAGGTGACAGGTGAAATGGTGAGGTGCTTTTGCAGCTGGTTTAGCCCTCCCCATTAGCCATGTGTCTACCCTATTTTGATAAGTGGGATCGGGATTATTGTTGTTAGGACTCATGTTTATTTATTATCTAAAACACTGGTTTGTTTTGTTTTAGTCACATCGATCAGACAACCACATGGCAGGATCCCAGGAAGGCCATGTTCTCCCAGATGAACGTCACAGCCCCCACCAGTCCCCCAGTGCAGCAGAATATGATGAACTCGCCCTCAGGTGAGTAAGAATGCATATGGAGTGCATGTGGAGCAGCGTTCGTGTGTGGGGAACTTCCTGTAAAAATAGTGACAGTTCTTTCAGAGAAACTGGCGCATTGGGGGTGGTAATTTTTTATATAGTTTCATATGCGGAAAAAAACAAAACAAAACAAAAAAACACATTACACCATCACTCTGTTGAGTCATTGATACATAAATGGGCTAGGAATGAAAGCCAGTGAGTTTTCAATTTCAGTTCTTAGTTTGGTTGATTTTGACATGCTTTTATTTAATTTTACTGACTTGTGTCTCAGGTGTTCAGAGTTGAAATTTTTCTTCCTCTTTCATGGCTTAGATGTGAAACCAAGTTATGGTGATCTGAACCCCTCGTTTTTTTTGTTGTTTTTTTTTTTTTTTTAAAAAGATATATATATATACACATACCGAACTGGGGTACAGGCCAGAGGTACAGGGGCAGTGAGAGGATTCACCAGAGACAAAGTGGGGAGCAGAATAGGTCACTGATGAAGTACACTGCTAAGGGGAGCAGTGGGTGGGTCAGGAGAGGTCTGCTATGCCATGTGGGTCACCTCCAGAACTGGGGATTGAACTCATGCTGAAGTGGCTTTATCTTAGTGCTGTGCTTTAACCCATTGCGCCACTAGGGAGGCCCTGAACCTCTCTTTTAAAGTGAATATTCACTCTACTTTGAGAATAACTAGATGGTATCAATTTATAAATGTTAGAGAATCTTTTTTAGATCTAGCCCTGTGTATTTGAAAGTATTTCCACCTTTTATACAGAATATAAACTTGAATGTGTGTGTGTGTGTGTGTGTGTTTTTTCAGCCTCTTATTTGGCAGTTTATTAAATCTGCCATTTTCCTTGTCCACATTATAGAATAACAATGTCTCTTACTGTAGAGAGGAAATTAACAAATTAATACAGTAGATATACAGTGTGTGTTGCTTTTTTTTTTTTTAAGGTTCTGTATTTATGCATACAGAACTGAGTTATAGGCTGAAGCACAGGTGTGGTGAGAGGACTTACCAGAGACAGAGTGGGGAGCAGAACAGTCAGATCAATGAAGTACACTGCTATAGGGGAGCAGCGGGTGGGCCAAGAGACCTGCCTGCTGTGCCATGTGGCTCACCTCTGGGGCTAGGGATCGAACTCATGCTGAAGTGGCTTTAGCTTCTTAGTGCTGTGCTTTAACCCGCTGCGCCACCAGAGAGGGCCCATGGATTGCATTTTTAATGCAAAGTAGCTACTAAGTCAAAGTTTAGTTCCTTTCCTCTAGTAGTAAGCTATTATCCAGCTACTTTCTTGGCTATATGGGTCCATATCATCATCTAATCATTTAAAGGAAAGGTTTTATTTCCCCAGAGAAAGATGCAGCCCCATGCTAGGCTAGCATCAGGAAGTGCAACATTTGTGATTTCTCGTCACACCCTTTCCTTTAGTCACTCTCACTTTACCCCTTTTTGCTGAGTACCCTGAGTGAAGGCACAGAAGGAATGATAGGAACTGGCATCCCTAGCAGTCACAAAGGCCTTTTTCCTCATAGCTCATCTGTTTCCCTACCATAATGTTGGTAGCTGCACTGTAGATTTTCTTAAATAGCAACCTTTGGAGAGGAGGAACTGTTGGAGGCAGGGAGGACAGTAGGGAGGGATGGTTGGAATGATTAATTGACAAACAGGTTCCTTGATTAGGAGAACTTCCAGAAGGCAAAATGTTCTTGTGCCCCTAGAGATGATGCCAGAGAATGTCTGCCTGCTGTGCCATAAGACTGGATTCTTGCTTTGGTAGTTTGAACAATTGAATTCTAAAGAGTCAGGAGCTGAAAACAAAAACCAAGGCAAGATTTGTGACTGATCTCTTCTTGTCATAAAGTATCTTTAGATAAAATCTTGAAGAAAATTTGATTCTTCAGAATCTTCTGTATTTGCTTATTTTAATATCAGTACATTTACTTATAAGTCTGTTTTATATGTGACACATTATCTTACACATTAGACTCTTTATTTTAAGATTTTATTTAGTTTTGCATAGAAGAACTGGGGTGTAGGCCAGAGGTGTGAGGGTGGTGGGGGGAGTTGGTGGGAGGATTCACCACAAACAGTGGGGAGCAGAACAGGCAGATTTACAAAAATAAACTGCTGAGTAGCAGGCAACACAGGAGAGGTTGCTGTGCCATGCGGGTTAGCTCTGTGGCCCAGAACGAACTCATGCTTTAGTGGTTGCCATAGCTTGATAGTGCTAAGACTTAACCCCTAGGCCACAGGGGAGGCCCTATATTATTATTTTTTTAATGCATACAAGAACTGAGTGGTAAGCCAGAGGTGGGGGGAAGGAGATGAGAGGATTCACTAGAGACAGAGTGGGGAGCAGAACAAGCAGATATACTGAAATACACTGCTGAGGGGAGTAGCAGATGAGACTGGAGAGATCTGCTGCAGAGATCTGCTGCGCCTGTGGGTCAGCTCTCTGGCAGCAGTGGCTGCCAATAGTTTGATAGTATTCAGACTTTACCCCTTGCACTACCAAGGCAGCCCTATGAATTTTTCAAATAAAAATGTAATGCAAGTATTGGCTGACAGTAATTTTACATGGCAACTTTTATTTGTCAAATTTCTAAGTAAAAATTGTCAGAACTGTCTTGTATTTATAGTGCAAAGACAACTGACATTGCTCATGTTGCCATGCTCCTCTAAAATGTGCCTAAGATATTAGTCACAAGTAGCTCATTAAATTTGATTTGGAAAGATGGGGATTTTGCATTTAATAAGGTTGATTCTGATTCTTTTAGAACATTAAAAAGAATTCTGTTAAGTTTTTTAATAGAATCATCTGAGGAAGTGGGAAGGATTTGTACTCAAATGTATACTTAAAATCACAAGTGTAAATAACATAGGTTTTAGAAATGTGTATTTTTTTCCAGCTCTGCATTTTGTTGGTTGGATATCAAATGTGCTTTTTATACTGACGATATATTAGTAGGCATGCTGACTTTGGGCAATATTTAGTAAAGAGATGACTTTGGCAGAAACAGTTTGAGCTGCAAGAAGAGAACTGTGAGTTAGAAGTGACAGGAGTTTGGAAAAAGACTTGGAGACAGGACCAAGTTAAGTTAGGTGCTGCTATCAGTTTCCCTCATATATGAGAAAAGTTCGGATAATTTTCCCCAACTACCCAACTTCTAGGTGATAGAAACAAGATTTGGAATTTGGTATGGGGTAATAGTAACTATATGTGAACCAGAATTAAGATAAATGACAGTGAAGCACTGGAGTAAGGAGAGGGGGCATGGGGCCCTGGAAGTGTGGTTATAAAGTAGTGGCAGATGTATTGGAGAACAACCTACTCCTGTGGAAAAGTCTGGTTGTGGCATGAGGTATGCTTAAGGAGGTTGTGTAGCTAATACACTACCCAAAAGTAGGGCGAATACTTAGGGCACTAGAAGTCATTGTCTTTAACTAATGGGGTGGTTGGACTATATGATGTGTTGTACATCAGAAAAAGACTACCTGGCAGGTCTGTTGAGAGCAAAAAGCAGTTTTATTATATTATTTTTAAGACAAAAAGTTATCCTAAAATGGAAAAGAGGTCACCAAAAATTTCAAAATGAGAGTAAGGTGAAACTAAGTACACATGCATATTCCCAGGACAGATTTAAGTCTGTATTATGTGTCATACATTTAAATGAGGGCTTAACTGTTAAACCAGGGCTGAAGTTTTGATAACACAGGTATAGTACATGCCTCTTTTCATGATGAAGTAATGGACTCAATTGTCTTTTATTTCTTCCATGGCAGTGGACATGAAGGACTTCTGCAAGGTGTTGAAATGATTGACATAGGAGTGTAATCTTGACATATGTTCCATTTACATAAAACTACAGTCAGTGTCACTTTTGAGGAGCTTTCCACATAGGGACCACTCCATCTGGGAAAGCTCCAGACTGTTTTCAGGGAAGAGCACAGCATAGTCTCCAAGGGCTCTAAGAAAAATGTCCTCTCTTGGTCCAGGTTTGATCCTTGAGAAAAGCAACAAAAGCAATGCTCCATTGTGCTTGAAAGTGATCTTTTCACTATTTTTAAAAGGTCTGAGATATTGAACAAGAAAAATTGTGGAGGGTATTTGTTAATAAATTTTGAGGATATTTATGTAATGAAGCAGCAGTGGCTTCAGGTTAACAGGAGGCCAACTGCAGACATTCCCACTGTGAATAGAACCTCACATCTGCTCATCCAGAGCCTGATAGACTGAAAGTTACACAACTATTTCATAGCACTTTATTGGGTTAAATAAGGTAGATTTCATTCTTATTAGAAGTTATTTCAACAGGAACTTTCAGTGTTTTTTTTTTTTAAAGATTTATTTATTTATTCGTACAGAACTGGGGTACGGGTCAGAGATGCGGAGGGTGAGAGGATTCACCAGAGACAGAGTGGGGAGCAGAACAGGCAGATTGACGAAGTACACTGCTGAGGGGAGCAGCAGGCGGGTCAGGAGAGGTCTGCCGGGCCATGTGGTCACCTCTGGGGCAGGCGGGGATCGAACTCATAGGGAAGTGGTTTATGCTTCTTTGTGCTGTGCTTTAACCCGCTGCGCCACCAGGGAGGGCCCTCAGTTTTCTTTTTTAAAAACAATTTCATTTTAATACTTGTCTGACTTGATGTTTTGCTTTTATTTTCTTAAGCAACAACTTTTCTTTATTTTCTCTAAACTCTTCAGACCGGTTTTCTGCATAATTTTTAATGGTTATTTGGGCTAAATGATCATTTCAGAGTCTCTCCTGAGTTTTTACTAAATCCTCTTTATTTATGTCTAATGTGGTTAGCAAAAGTGGTAAGAATTCATTTTTCTTACATATCCTATTACAAAATATGATATTGTCTTGATGGATTTTATTGTGAGATTGGAGACCTGTGGTTTGTAATTGGCCATATTTCTGAATAAATAGAGTTGAGAAATCACTTACAGGTGTGCCTGGAAAGAATCTTGGAGCAAGAC